GGCCGTTACTCTGGCATAGCCTTTTTCACGCGCCGTTGGATGGCTGGAGGGGGGGATAAAAGAGACGCATTACGCAACGAGCCCCGCTTGGACAGTGATTGAGGGTGGAAAACGAGGATGAGAGAGAGATCGAGAGAGAGCGAGAGACAGAAGGAGTGAGAGACCTGTCTCACAACAACCTGCCGGCCAACTAGCAGCTGTGGCAAGGGAATTCACAACCCTGGGGGATCCGTTTTTTAAATGGATATTAAAGGGGATTGGGAAGTGAATGAGCAGGCTTTGAAAGAGACCGGAAGGTTTAGTTAATACAGTTAAAGTATCGAAAAAGCAACATTACACAACTACGTCCGGAAAGATACTGTAACCAGGCAAAAATAGAAAAAAGCTTCGGGGTTGAACGACAAAATGCGCCAAACTACGTTTTTTTCACTTGTCATCCGTAAAACCTAGGGTTGTTCATTTTGGGTCCGGTCCGTGTCCGTCCGGCCTGGGACGTGGATCTGTCCTGTCCGCGCAATTCTGTGCATAAAACTGCGGACGGGCTGGACGGGTCCCGGACGGGCCGGACGGACGCAGTGCGGGCTGGGGCGTCCGCGGGTCCGCGAATGCAAATGACCGGAAGCACATGCAAAATCATGCAAAGCAAATTAACATCTTAGCTCGATTGTTGCCAGTCTTGATTTACATAGGTGCTTTTACTTGGGGGAAGAACGCGAAAACGGTCATTTCATCAATTATCATGCAAGTTTTGGCTACCTGCGCTTTGCATAGCGGGCTCGGCTACTTCCTGCGTCCGAGCCCGTCCGGCTCGTCCCGGACCCGTCCCAGCCCGTCCGCTCTATCGGAGAAAATTATTCGGACGCGGACGGGTCCGGGCCCGCGTCCGTCCGGAGCCCGTCCGTGAACAACCCTGGTAAAAACCGAAGCTAAATAGGGGCCTTGGTCAAGTTAAGCCCAAGAATAAACCCAAGCCAAGCTAAGCTGCACGAAAGCTAAGCCCGACATTAAAATATTAGGGCCAAGACGAGCTAATTTGGGCCTAGCCTTTTGTCTGGGCTTAAGCCAGTTTGGGGGGCTTGGGCCAGTTCCGGGCTTAAGCTCATTGTCAACACCAAGCTCAGCTTAAAATCGCCAAGTCAAACTTAGGTTTTTGTACGTTAGTAGATCATTCGAGCATCGTCATAGTGCTCGATAGGTAAAAAAAGAAACTAAACGCTATGTTACGCACCTAATTCCGCTGGGATACTGTAGTCAGTCAGTAAAATCCAGACTAGATTGGATCCGGGACGGGTGGGTGTCAGTTGGTGTGTGACGGACGGGTTGAAGGAGTTGGCAGCCGATTCATTGAAAGTGAGAGAGAGTTAGGGAAAGAGATAGAGAAAGAGAGAGCGAGTGAGTGAGAGAGAGGGAGAAAGAGAGATTTGGATGGGAAGCCGTTTAGAGAATGCTACTCGATTCTGCGAAGATTGTTGACAGCTCCCCCTCTAGAGAACCCCCGGGGGGGGGGGGGGGGGGTGTCTGGAGGAGTCTAATCGACTGGTATCCATGCCTGGAAGGGGAGATGAGGGGAGATGAAATGACCACATTAGACAATGGCTCGCATAGCCACATTGCAACAATATCGCAAAAGCCACCGGCACACACCGCCTGCCCTCCTCTACCAGTTCGCCCTCAAGGCGAGGAGCTATATCTCACAGCCACATCGCCCGGAGGAGCCGAGGCAGGAAGCTGTTGGAAGTGGGGAGACACCAAACCTGAGAACACCTGGTGCTACTAGAAGATGCAAAGGGGTGCAAAGAGGGAAATAGGTAAAAAAAATACAATAATATTTTTTGACGATACCGGTTTTTCTCTCCCTTTTCCTATCGCTTTCTCTCTCTCCCTCGCTCTCCCTCTCTCTGGTCTCTCATATTCTCTCTATCTCTCTCTCATGCTCTCTCTCTCTTTCTCTCTCGCCCTCTCTCCTGGGCTTCCCAACTTTGAACCAAAACTATTTGAATACTTCTATTTGAGTACGGGCTACCATCCCGGTCCGAAAATTCGAAAAATGGATTATCCACCCAATTCACCCGGACCACCGGCCTGCTCCGTCAGGGATTATGGTAGCTTTTCAATTCAGTTCAAATTTTTCCGGCGAAACTTGAAAATCACGACCTTCAGCCAAAACTGAGGCCAGAGCGCCGCGACGGTAGCGGGACGCTGAACAGCGAGAAGACGGATGATGAGTCGAGCAAGGTAGAAAAGAAGCTGGCTTGGCCTTAGGATTGTGATTAGCTTAGGCCCAATCTCAGTTACCTCTCCTTTAGCGTGCCTCCCAAATCCGAAGCACCGTGTCATCAACATCGACCCGTCCAGCGGCGCTTCGACTCGGCGTCCTCGTCCTCGGAATCGGTAGTGGAATAATGGTAGATAGTACGTAACTTTACTCAAGATCCGCGAGCCGAAGACTGCCAAAAAAGAGGGTCCGCCCGCCGCAGCAGCAAAACACCGGCCGCCGGAATGCGTGCTGCCTGATGGCTTGCGCCTTTCTCGTCATCCCTAGCCATTGTGCGGTTTTTGGGTCTTCTCTTCGCTTTTGCTCAACTCTCTCTCTCTCTCTCTCTCTCTCTTATCTCGCCCCTTCTTTCTAGCTCTCTCTCCCTCTCTCTCTATCTCTCTCTCTCTTTCTCTCTGTCTCCATGCCTCTCGCTTCTTTGATTCTCTCGTCTCTACTCTGTCTAATTCCTCCATCTCTTCAGTAGCCATCGCCATCGGCTTCTACTTGGCCTTCCAAACGGACGATATCATGAGACAGTAAGTTTTCCCAACCGGCCTATATTACAAGTCCGATATCCACCACTTCCAAGTCCCTTTAAAATCACGATATCTCGATTCAGACTTGACGAAGACACCAAAGCCCGTCAGCACCGTATCCACCGGGGAATTCGGGCCCGTCCCCGCGCAGATCGGCGGAAATGACCCCGGATTCACCCAGCTACCGTAAAGAACTCTACCGTAGGCTCATCCCCTCCCTCTTCAGGGCCCACACCTGGCAGATCCCCCCCCTCGCCTATCGCCCCGAACATTACCACGTGGATTTACACGTAAGGATACGCATTGAAAGGGCGCTTAGGCATTATCGGGGGAGGGCGGAGCGGATTTTTCTCTAACATTTAAAATCTTTTTCTTAGATTAGAAAAAGGTACTAAAGAAAAAGTTTGTTTTTGTGGTCAGCCACTACACTCCATTCCTCATTACAGGTCTACCTCCCCGGCTATGGCACCGAAATTCCCAAAGATCGTGAATTCACATTCATCGGCGTCGTCAAGATTACGGTAGTTCTGTCCTGGAGGAACACCTGCACACTGCTGGACATAATTTTGGGTTCACCAGAAGTTTTCAGCTTTCTCCTTACCACAGCAATGGGGCTCCTCGCCACTTGCGTTTTTAAGGTATAGGGTTTGCCCAGTATATTCTTATCAGAGCTCCGAAGGAAAACCGCCCAAAAATTATCAGTTTTTGGTGAATGGTTTTTCCGTAAAATTACGATTTTGGCGAATGGTCATAATTTTGGGTTCACCCTGGAAAGCCGCTAAAGAAATCCCGAAAAACATGATGTGTGTTGTTGTGGAGCCAACTTTGGAAAAAAATACGTGAAACTCAAAGTAATCCAGACCGCCCGAAAAAAACCTCCTCGATGTCCAGGATTGGGCTATCGGTATGCTTTTAGATCGCCGGGGTCTCAGGTATTGATTAACGCATTCTTTGGCAGCTGGACTTTTTAGTATCGGTGAGATTATGGATGCAAAACGACGTCATCAGGTGGCTGTAACAATTTTTTCATCAATGCGTACCTGAGAATTCGCCCACAGCTCAAAAAATTAAATTCCAAGACTTTGGTACTGCAAACTTGGCCGTTTATTTGACCAAAGGAATCGGCGCGTTCAATTCCTGGAAAATGGGTTCTGGACCGCTGGAACAAATAATAATGGCGGGCGGAAGCCTTCCCAGGCCTACGCGTAAAGATTCGACTCAAACTTCTTGAAGATGAACTTAAAAACTGCCACATGAAAGAACTGGACTCCCAGCGAAATCCGCCACACCTCATCCTTGAGAATTCAGTTGGAACACCGCATTATGTTGCTGTCCTGGGATCATCTCAGCCAAACGGCGCACCATCAGACTCATCACAATAACTTTTTTATCCACGAAAATCCACGAAATGAGCGGCGCCGGACTGAGTCACGAAATCTTGTTCCAAAGCGTCAGCTTTAAGTTCATGCTCAAGAAGTTGAAACCGAATCTGTACGGGTAAGGCGCCCGGAAGGCTTTCGTCCGTTGAAACAACAGGCGAATCAAGAGGCAAAACATCCATTTTACAAGAACTCAAAAATTGGATTTCGGTCAGCAGCGCCGCAAAGTTGTCTTCACAATGCCAGGGGTTTCGCTTTTGAAACATCAGCTAATTCTCAAACTGCCAATGGTGAAAAATCTGTTAAGGCTACATACTGGTGACATGGTTTTCCATCAATAATCACTGCTACCGAGAAGTCCAGTCACTAAAGTCTGGAGTTCTGTTCAGGAGACAGAAACCAACAGATCAGAAGCTTGCCGATCAAACGATCCTCTAAGTAGTGGAAAACGAGGTCTTTCAGCGTTCTGAGCATTCGATCAGGCCTTGTGTTAAGCAATTAACTCGTTTCCCTAGTATCAAATTTTGCGTTTTAAGAATTTTTAGACAGATTTGGGTGGAGTCAGGCTTGAGTCCTGACCCCCAAACATAATGGTGCATTTAAAAAAAACAATTCGAACAAAAACTAAAGATACTTCGAGATTTTCCTTTGGCCACCGGTTCGAATATACTCAACGAAATCGTAACACTCAAAGCGGGCGAGCGCGAGCCTCATCCATGTGCGACAAAAGAAGAACGAAATTGAAAAAACCCAAGAGTATGTCCAAAGCAGTGTATGAGGGTACGGTATTTAGGTAAGCTGCCAGCTCGGCACAGCGCAGCACCGGAGATGCACAGCAAGCGGCTCGATCTGATTGCGGCTACGATATTTGAGGGAGGGGATGAGAAGAAGGTAGGGATCGCGCCATCTCTCTCTCTCTCTCTCTCTCTTTCTCTCTCTCTCGCACTCTCTCTCAATCCTCTATCCCCTTTCAGCGTCGTCGCCTGAGCATCGGTGCCAACGAAACCCTGGAGCGAATCTCCCTCTCCGATGGAAAACCCGACATCAAGCCCGGAAAACACATCATCCAGGTGGCCTACGAGACACTCCACTTTACACCGTCGTCCGCACTTTAGATCGTCTACAGCGGGACGTTGAGTCGCTCGATGCATGGCCTGTATCGGTCGGTGTATTATGATGAAGACGGAAACAAGAAATGGATTGCCACGACGCAATTCGAGTCGACGAACGCCCGCGAGATGGTGCCATGCTTTGATGAGCCCCGCTTTAAGGTATCCATTCCTCTCTTTCTCTCTCACTCTCTCTCTCTTTCTCACACTCTCTACCTCCCATTCTATCGTTCTCTCTAGGCTACGTGGACATTCTCGATCCGTCACCCTGTCGGCACCACAGCCACTTGAATGCAGCCATCGTTGGGCAACCCACTAGGTGTGTTTTTTAACCCGTGCCCTGTCTACCGTACCCTCTCTCCCTCTCAACCGTCATTTGTTGCAGTGAGGAACACGATGGGCTGAAGTGGCAGCGAACCAATTTCGAACCGACCCCGCCACTCTCCACCTACATCATCGCCCTCATCGTTCACGACTTCGGATATGATAGTGCGACAGTCACGGACCGAAATATCAAGGTATCAGCATTAAGGTGCTTTTTAGGTATCTAGGTTAACTAGGCTATCTTAAGGAGATTACATTTTTAATCTCTCCCCCTTCCAGATCGGTGTCTATGCACGCAAAGAGATGATGAACCAGACGAAGACGGCCCTCAACGCCGCTCTAATAGCGGTGCCCGAGCTGGAGCGCGTCACCGGGTTCCGTACCCTCTGAAGAAGCTAGGTATCGATCGATATACAGCATCACCAGCCGATTGGCAGCCGCTTCGCCATGACTGCACGCGGCGGGCCTTCGGGCTACCCTCCATAGTTCTACGCCACCACATTACACCTCTACCTTAATCAATACCCACGCCCACCTTTAGAACCCTTGAGCCAACCCCCGGCAAAAGTTCCAAATCCACCCATCCATACTCAACTACCATAAACTACTTAACCGATCAATAACTACATACCAAACTACTAGATGTCTTCCTATGGCTTCAGATACCCCCTCCCATAGCCGAAACCCCTTAAAAACAACTTCACAACTTAGGTACCTCCCCTAACCAAAAATTCCTTAAAAAACCACTCAGCTACCTTTCCTGGCGGCCAGATACCTGCCATAGAGACGAAACCCCCTTAAAAAACGACTTCGATACCTTCCTTGGTGGCTTCAGATACCCCCATAGCCGAAACCCCCTTAAAAAACGACTTCGATACCTGCTTGATGGCTTCAGATACCCCCCATGGCTGAAATCCCCTTCAAAAACTACCTTAATACCTTCCTGATGGCTTCAGATACCCCCCATGGCTGAGATCCCCCTTGAAAAACTACCTAAATACTTCCCCGATGGCTTTAAATGATTTAAATAATAAATTAACATAATTAAAAAGTATTAAAAGTATTAAAGTAACTTAAAAGCTATTTGGGCGCGGGAAGGGCCTGGTGAAGAGGGGCGAAGGGAAGCGTGGGGCGTGGCCTCCGGGGGACAGGGCCCGACTCGTTTTATTAAGGCGCCACTTTCAAAGTTAATTGGCTTTTTATTTAAACAAAACTTTTCATAATTTCGGGATCATTTAAGGGGTTTCTGATCACGCCTCATCCAAAACTGAAGAGACCTAAGCTCTACCCCCTTTCCCCTTCGAGTTATAGTTGGCTTCAGACGGACAGACAGACAGACAGACGGACACCACAGCAAAATTCTTA